CCCGTCAAATTAATATCTCTGAAAACACTTTCCCATCAAATTTATCTCTCTGAGAACACTTTCCTGTCAAATTAATCTCCGAGAACATTTTCTTGTCAAATTAATCTCTCTGAAAACACTTTCCCGTCAAATCAATCTCTCTGAAAACACTTTCCCGTCAAATTAATCTCTATGAAAACACCTTCCTGTCAAATTAATCTCTATGAAAACACTTTCCCGTCAAATTAATCTCTCTGAAAACACTTTCCTGTCAAATTAATCTCTCTGAAAACACTTTCCCGTCAAATTAATCTCTCTGAAAACACTTTCCTGTCAAATTAATCTCTATGAAAACACTTTCCCGTCAAATTAATCTCTCTGAAAACACTTTCCTGTCAAATTAATCTGTCTGAAAACACTTTCCTGTCAAATTAATCTCTATGAAAACACTTTCCTGTCAAATTAATCTCTCTGAAAACACTTTCCCATCAAATTAATCTCTCTGAAAACACTTTCCCATCAAATTAATCTCCGAGAACACTTTCCCGTTAAATTAATCTCTCTGAAAACACTTTCCCATCAAATTAATCTCTCTGAAAACACTTTCCCATCAAATTAATCTCTCTGAGAACACTTTCCCGTCAAATTAATCTCTCTGAGAACACTTTCCCATCAAATTAATCTCTCTGAGGACACTTTCCCATCAAATTAATCTCTCTGAGAACACTTTCCCGTCAAATTAATCTCTCTGAAAACACTTTCCCATCAAATTAATCTCTCTGAGAATTGTACATACCTTCTTCCTGTTTCATTTTAGCGATTTCATGATCAGCTAAATAACTAAAATGCTTGGCTGTAAACAAAATATTGTGGATTTTAATACAAATAAAAACAATTTGACTGTCATTGCCTGAGTTTGTAGTTGTAAACTGTTTGTTGTTAGATGTTGTTAAAGACAATATCACAGAGCAGCTAATAGCAGCTAATTCACAAATCCACGAGAATGATTGACAGCTGAACATTGACCAACCCTCTTAAAATCTGCTGTCATGTTTACCCACAAACAA